TATTCTAAAATATCTCGGATGGATATCCATCCGAAATACATAGACTGTTCAAGCGATTCACATGGTCTGACGAATAAGTTTTATTATTGCACTATCAATGCAATAACGTCGGACAGAATGTTTGTGAAATGTTTCAGAACTTTTTTTTTATTTCGTTTTACATATTTGATCTTTATCCATTGACGCCACAGCAATTTTCAGCCAATAAAATTGAATATATTCAATAGAATTAGAAATGATATGATTTTCATTCATTTCAACCGATTGATATCGCATCATTATGATTGATTCTTTTGACATAGAACATCCATATCACAGTAGAATCATTACACTTTGTAATTTTGGTTTGGATTCTCATTATTCATAATGGTCATTGAATCCTTTGGCATCTTGCCTTTGCCATGGGAAAAATATCATTGTTTTTTTATTTTACTTTTCTTACAATTTCTTTTATACATTGCTCTAGTGAAATGTTGGATTATAAGTTCATTCAGTTTGAATTGACTTATAGTCTACGTATATATGAACGTGAGAATCAATAGGTAAGATCACGAATGGATAATAATAATATTTCAACTTTGAACTCATTTCTTTAAAGAAAATCAAAGTTGAATGGTGGTATTAATGTGAATAAAAAAGGAAAAACAATATTATTTACAGTATATAGAGTATCAAAAACAATGGAAATGACACAATTGTCTTTTTCCAAAACGATTGTAAAAGTCGTGCCACTAAGAAAATTTACATATAAATTTCTTTCTTTGTGACTTCTGTTTATGCACATGTGTTAAAAATAAAAAAAATCATGGACACAACAGTCGTACTTTTACGTACGATTTATTCTTGATTTCAGTTGGTGCAGTATCATTGCATTTTTAAATATTTATTTCTAATTATAAACCATTTTTTGTACATTTGGGAAATGAATTTCAATGTCACATAAGAAGCGGGGTCCTCGATTCGAGGAGAACCATCTAGAGAACCATTCTTCAAATCTTCAAGAATAACATCAATTATTTTTTTTTTATTTAAAAAATCCAATCAGAACCAATGATGTATGTTGGTTCTACCATCATGCTGTCATTTCAAATCGATTTGATGATATTTATAATTGTCTGTACTACTCAATTACTCACGATTGATTGCCGCAGTGACAAACGCAATAGAACCAGTGAAAAATTGATGAAATTTCAACGGTGGCTTTTCTCGTTTTGAATTACCACCGTTCAATACTTCAGGTCAATGGTAAACAAATAAAAATCAGTGAATCATATCAATGGTCATCATAAGAGCGCGGTGATCATGTGGTTAATTACTTAATTTTCAATCTTTACGCGCACGCCTCCGAAGCGACGCGAGGTTGGACCTGATGAAACTACTCGGGCGCACCATCAGCAAAATCATATGTATATCGATTTGTTGTAATCAGAATAAATGGAATATAAATTGATCAATAACTCACTCACAAAGTGAATATTGCTTTTGGTAAATGTGAAACGGATAAATCTTAATGAACAAATATCCACAGGTGGTACGGTGCGGCAAGTATGGTTTACATGCATGTAGAGTGCGATCGCGATATGGCTTACAATGCATATATTGGCCACATTATTAACGTTTCATTCGATCGCGTCGTTTTTTCTTTGTTGACCGCTGATCTCTCATGTGAGCGGCCACGTAGCGTATGAATACACGTTTGCATTTAATTTAGAAAAAAACCTCTTATTACTAAAACAGCAAAGAATTTTTTTCATAGAGATCACACAGTCAGCTTATGACTAGAATGGTTCATGGGAAGGGCGCCAATAAACACCTATACCTTTATCATTGCATTTTTCCGCAAATGGAACGATATGATTTTGTTTTCATTGATTTCAACTATTTATTCATTCAAAATTTCAGTCAGGGAATGAAGAGAAAGAGAGGAAGAAAGAAAGAGAGTGCGGTAATCAAGCATCGGCAGTAATATTATCCATGAAGTGGCTAAAGAGTGAAATCGCACAACACAAATTAATTGAAATCAATAAATAAAGTTTCAAGAACTTTGTTGCTGTATATTAATTGTACCGTCAAGACAATTTGACATTTTCGCATATTGCGTTTATAATCATCATTCGGTTTCGATATGCATACATGTGTAAATGTATTTCGTTTTGTTCGTTATGTGTTTAGTTAGGACCACATTAATACCAACAGAATATTTATGATTCGTTTGGCCGCACTGAAATGAGTTCAAAAAATACGACTATGCTCTTTTTCAACAAATTAAAATGAATTGTGGTTCTTGAAATGAATTAAACACATATAAATCATTTCTCATTAAAGCAGCGGCATGTGTCCGAGTTTTGCCAATTATTATACAAATTTTGCTGTACTGGAATTACAGCAAATAATGTAACCAAAATCGTTTGCCGCAAACTAAATTAAAATATAAAAAAAAAAACATTCTTTGACGGAGTAATTTTTGTCAAAAGACTTTCCATCAAACTTTTCCGCGAAACTTTAAAAAATATACTGTAAAGGAATGTTGAAAAAAGTTAAGAAGCTTAGCGGTCAAAGATTTGAAAGCAAATTTATATTATAACATGCAACAGGCTCCCGCTCTCACAGCTGTTATGTCGTTCTGAGATAAAGCTAAAATGAAAAAAGGGCACCAAAAACAAAAATTCGTAATCATATACGTGTGTGCCCCATAAAATGGAAATAAATCACATTAAAAGGCATTGATTGCTCATAAATCCATTAAAAACTTAATCATAATAAAAGCGTTCACTTAAACCGTTTTATTCTCTCTTCGCTCTCTTTGTTATTTGGCCAAAATGAAAATAGCAATAACGGACGTAATTGTTGAAGAGATGGAATGACGACAAAGACGCGACAGCAGCATCAACAACAACTCTACTGAAGTGATTAATGCACAATATATTTGTGTGCCACAGAGCAAATACTTGTACAATGGAAATTCACAAAAAACCTGTTCGTATTTGAATGGATCTCAGTGCAAACCATATACAACCGCCGCCGCCGCCGCAAAATACTGATGTCTAAATGCAAGAGTCCATAAATAAATACTTTTTTTTAAATCAAACAACAACGATTTTAACACGTAAACGAAAGTCAGTAAAAAATGCCAATCTATCGCCTGCCTGACTGCATATATGGATTGTAAAATCACTTTGACTCACACGCATACACATGCTCGGCTTGTGGTCATCAGCGCCCTTGCTTTATTCGTCATTCGCATCAATTTATTTTGGTTCAATACACTGAAACACATACTTAATGACTATCATCGCTTGCTCATCCATGTCCGCATACCTGTGCATTCTTCATCGGCGAGCCTGTGCATGTAAACAAATTATATTTTGTACATTGCTTATCGTCGATGCTTTTTTCGGCGTTATTTTTGTGATGCGTTTTGCTGCTTGAGTGCATCATCAGGCTCAAATCACCGGGGAATAAAGAGAAAACATGAAAAAAATGTGTCGCTTAAAAAAAGAGTTTTCTTCACTTTTTCTCTTTTCGTCTGATCTGACTGTGAATGTGGAAGCCCATAAGTTATTAAATAAATCGCGTTAAAGATTGAACACAAACACATACAGAGAGATACGGAGAGAGAGAGAGATTACAAATGAAATAAAAATGGGAAAGGGATCTGAGCATTTAACACACAAATATAACTCACTATAGTGTGAGATCAAGACAAGAAATGAAAAATTTTAGAATTTTAATTGACTGTCAGTCGTTGTTGAAACGAAAAAGAAGAAAAGTAAGACGAATCACCAAAATACGCGTTTTGTGACTACAATAGAATAAATTACTTTCAATCGAGCGTATCGCAAATACTAATCGGTCGGTTGTGTTTTATTGTGATTTTCTTTGTTACTTATAACTTTGTTGACAATATACTCGATCTTTTCCCCAAATAAATGATGTAATAAAGTCGTATATTTTAAAATTTATATTATTTATAGCACAGATCAAAGATCAATGACGGTGTAAACTAGATGGATGAAAGACAGACAATTATTCGATTGAAAGGTAATAGACATTGCCACTATCATTGATTTATTGTTCGACATTTGGTCTGCTTTTTGTGAACTGATTGGCGCTTTGATTCTGTTCATTTTCTTATGGATTATTCCATACTACGTGATATTTTCTGATATGTTCTGATAGATACTGTATTAAACTCTATCGCATTGAATGGATTGAATACACCGTGCGACCTTATTCAATGAATGACCACATTGAAAGATTTCGATGAATCATGTGACGGATGAATACAAAGATTTAATGTGTCATTTAAAACCAATGTAAAAGGTTAATCGTTCTACCAAAATTTCTGCAATGCAGAAATTTATTGCCAATTCAAAAATAAAACAATCCATTTTTTAAGTGTATAATGTAAAATTATATTTAAATGTCAATAGACGACAAGACAAAAAAATGAGAAGTGGGTAATTGGAATAAAAATGGTAATTAATGCCTAGAAGAAAAAGTCAAAATGCCATGTTATACCGATATCACTAAAAACTTAAACTATTCCTGAACAAAAAAAAAATGTATGAGATTAATGCCGAAAAATTAAAGCCCCCTTTTTTTCTTTCTGCTTCTGCTCTATGGATTTTGTAGCTCAGCTGGAATTGGAATGTCATTTTCGTGTGCAAATTTTTTCAGTGCTTCGTACTTCAGACGTAAGGCAATGTTTTCCTTGCGCAACTCACTGTTTCTTGTTTGCATCATTTCCATCGTTTGGAACTCCTACAGGATCATTTAGAGAAAAATAGAAAATATTTAAAAATAATTTGATGCTAAATGAAGTAATACGAATGACTTACGCATGTTTTCTTAGTTTCAAGTTCGTCTTTTTGTTCGATGCGTTTGATTCGGCAACTGGCAGCATAGCCTCGATTTTTTAAGGTACGACGTCTTTGTTTCATTCGAGTAATTTCGGAACGAGTTAGTCCGCGTAGTTTAAGATTTCGATTCAAGTCACGCACCGATATGGAAACCAGCTCATCATCCGTAATATCTGGTATAGGACAAGGTGACAATGGAGCCTAAAAATGTACACGAACAGTTTTGTTTCACTTCGTAGAAGTAAGGTTGGACCAATTGGTCTTTGTTATTTTTTTCACTTTTGTTGTTTGATCACAGCACAATTTGACACATGAACAACATACACAATTTTTTCGTATGAAATTTACGCAAATTTACTTACCATTGAACCTTTTCGTTCGCGTTTCAATTCGAGAGGCATTTTTAACACTAGCTTGTCAACAATTTTCGATGGAAATTGCGTGAATTCTTCGACGCGTTTCTAGAAAAATAACAAAAATTGCAAGTCATTGCCTTGAAATTTTTCATTTTCTCTCATATTGTTCATATATACTTCTTCTTTGACAATTCCCTTCCAATCGTTTGTTTGCAAGCGGCGCAGGGTTGTATATGAAGTAAATTGAAAGCGGTAAATTTTGGTAAACATTTTTCTTGCAGCTATAAAAATATATTTTTTTCTTATTTTTCTGATAAATATCAAGCATAAAATTTCTGGTTATTTATTTTATTTTGAATTAAAATAATAGTGTTTGAATTTAGACAACCCGTCGTATAGTTTGACATTTAACCACATTGGAAACAAATGTTCAGCATATTGTATTGGCGCTCTATTCAAATAAAATACATACAAAAGCATTCAGATCCCAAGCAACCAATTTGTAACGTTTTTCACCTTTTTTAACGTTGAAAAATGTAACGCTTTGACCCATTTTGGTGGTCATTTTCGTGTCAATGGAAAGTTGATTATATGCATGTATTTTATTTACATCCAGTCAATGATATTTTTTGAAAGCAAAAAATGAACACGGATCAGAATAATACAGAAGTGTATTAGAAGAGAAGAAACGTCAGCATTGTGTAATTCGAAACCAAATTATTGTTTATTTTTAATACATGGCGATTTTCGCTTTATCGAATGTATGGTGTATTTGTATTTTTCACTGAGTAAACACTCTGTGAAGTTTTAAATTTCGGCTGGACTGCATACATCTTTGTAAAAATCCGCTTTTGTTAAACAGTTAGCCACAATGTATATAGCTCTATCACTCTCTTTCAATACTTCTTTAATAAGTCATACTGTGTATGCCCGAATGTTCTTGATTGTGTGCACACCAAATTCAAATCGAAACCGAATATTGTCACATTTCGTTCACAATTTGACGTTTCACAGTAATTTTGCATACTCAAGAGACAAGTCGTGATCGTGTTTTTAGTTTTATTCATTTGGACAGTAAATTTCTTTCATATAAGTCGAATTGTTGTGTGTGTTTGCAAAGAATAATGGATTATTCCCACCAAATTTTGCGTTTGACTTTGTTTTATATTGCAAACAACAAAGCATTCACAAACCTGAACAGTAAATATTCCAAATCAACTGGAAATTCGTTCGGCGGTTTTGATGCGAGAAGATTTAATGCAGAAGAAAGATGACGTTCAACTTCGGTGATTGTGTAATTTGGATCGCATCGATTTTAAAATGTGCTTTGATTTTAGTTTCATTTGGAAAACCAATTTCTTTGTAGTGTTTTGTTTGTTTAGATTTAGTGTGCTTGTGTTTTTTTTTTGCATCGTCATGTGTTTATAAGTTTTCGTTCAACGGAGAATATGCGACGAATTTTGCGAAGCATTCAGAAAGAGAACATCGATATTGAATTAAACTATTGTTAATTTGTTTTTGTGCAGTGTTTTTCAATGGATTCGTTTGATCGTATACCATCAGAGTTATTGTTATTTTAGATAAATCCCGTTTCGATTTTTGTCTTCGATATGAATTTTGCCGTCTATTTTCCGTTTGATTTTGTTTTCATTATTTAATATTGACAGAACATTCGGAAAGTACGAAGCAGCAAATTTTATTCTCACAATAAAATTCATTAATAAAAATAGTATAAAAGCAAAGCAAATATTGAGTAGTTCTTCAGAAACTATTCGAATTTTGATGAGGAAGAACATCACTTGAAGTCAACGTAGCTCAGCGAATTTAAATCGAATACAATCACAAAACGATAATTTCTGCATGCAATTTAGTGATAATTATCTCGTAATATTCGAAAAAATTTCGGTAATTGTGAATGATCGATTGAGCCATGAGTCGAACAAGATCAAAAGACGATCAATTAAACAGGTGAGCGGTGTTTTCCTTAATATTTATTCTGTTTTTTTTTTCTATTGGCTTTTCGACACGATTTTTATTTTGTTGTGTGAACTGTTTTTTTTTTTTTAAATAATTATGTATGTTTCCCATGTTTTTGTTCCATTTACTAAATCCAAGCGAGAGGAGAACTGACAATGAGAAAGACATCAAGAATCTTGTGGTAATAAAACAAGGACTCAAGTCAATCATCCGAAAACAATATCGCGACAAAGTGATTCAGTTTTCGAAGCCACCGAATAACACTGATTTCATCACTGGCATCATTGTTGGCATTGTACAAAATTCGAGAAGCCATCGATGATGAGAACCGACAATTTTTTCTACAAAACGGACACAAATTTTTCATCAAATGCTTTAACGGCGTTTTAGCGGAAAACGTCGACGATGAGGAACTAATGTCACCAGCTTTTCGTAACATTGTCGAGGCTCACATCGGTGAAGAAGATTTTGCATGGCCCGATAAAGAATGCTTGGGAAATGGTTTTAATTATTTCTACCAAGATCACATTCGAAATACTCAGACCAATCTCAACACTCATTGTTCAGAACATGTTGAATCGTTTTTTCAAATGAAACGCTGGTATTATAATATGAATATCAATGGCCATCAATACTATGGATCAAAATTCGACGGCATCGATATACGAAACGCAAAAGTGTACGCCACTAGTAACAAAGATCTGACACATGGTGATGAAGAGAGAACAAATAAGATGAACATTTTATTGTATGAACTGGAAAGAATCGGTTGGCGGTGTCAAAAAGTTCATAATGGACAATTGGTTCCGGTCACTGTCAATGAGTTCGTTAAGGACAATTGGTTCCAATCACTGTGGATGTTTGGTCAAATGCAACGCCAAATCGAAGTGTTTCATCAATATGCACAACAATGGCATGCATTTCGTCGCGATGGATTGAACAATCGACCGCCAAAAGTGAACAATTTCGCACTTGTCCCGTTATGCCGATTCCAACTGAAAAACGTTCGATTGGATATGAAAGATATGTATTGTTTGGCGAACACTGTACTAGGAGTGGTGCCCAGTTCGCGCAATCCGCTGACCAATAGAATGAACTATTACATGTACGGCCATAGAGATGAATTGTGGAATTTGGTTTTCGACATGGATAAAATCAAACAAATCGGCAAGCAGAAGCGATTTCACTCGCAAATCATCACCAATAGTGTTTGCGTGTCAATATTGTACGAGAAGCCAGCGAAGGCTTGGGTGGAAAATTCGGAGCAGGCCACATTTAACAACATGACATATGCTTGTGCGCCTCCATATCAATTCAAACATTGAGGTAAATTAAGTTTGTTATTACAATTTTTTTTTGTCGGAACGTGATTGAAATTTGACGTAATTATTTAACAGGAAAACAATAAAATATCCAATCCACGATTTCATTGGCGAACCGAGCAGAAAAAGAGAGATCGAAAGGCAGATCGATTGAGCTGTTGGTATGTTGAAGAAGAACAACTGGATCTCAGATCGTACCCATTCATAATATATGCACGATTGGAACTCGATCACCACATCAAGGCTACCAAAACAAGTGATAAAGTTGCCATGCGGATAACGAACAACAAACCGTCTTGGATTTGGATTGGTGCTGGAGAAATGGCACCAAATCGGCCATGGGGCATAAAGAAGCGGAAAAGATGCCCGGGAACGCGTAAATTGGCAATCAGTTTCAAGAAACAAGAGCACACAAAGGTCAGTTTTCAAGATGAATGGGGTACATCAATAACGTGTGCCAATTGTCATGAGCGATTTGCAAGAGAAACCAAAAATCATCGATTCAAAATTTGTCGAAATTGCATACCAAAACCGATTGTTGGACTACCACCGATAATTGTGACGAATTTGAGCAGACAAGAGCTTAAGAAAGAGCGAATTGTAGAAAGAGCAATCAATCCAGATCGTGAGAACATCGAGCGTTTAGTGCCAAAGATAAAAGTTATCTTCAAAACTTGGTCATTAACTCGAGAATACCATGAATTGGGTGATGCTGCACCAGAAGACATGATTGAGCACGTAGTCATTTGGCACCGTGACATTGTTGCCGCAAAGAATATTTCATTCAAAGGTATGTGCATAATTGTATATTGTATTAATATTAAATTGAGAATAGAGAGCAGAGCGTTAGGTGTTCAGTGTTCATATTAATTGATTAATGTTTTGTGTTTGTTTCTGATTTTATAGGAATGTGTCGTCTTTTTGGCATACCATTGCCCGATTCGTTGAAGAGACCTGACAATCCACACCATGCGAACAATGTCAACTGATAGCAGCATAAAATCAACAATAATCATAAGAAGAATATTTTAACAATTTTGTTAGTTACTAGGCATGAATAGTTTAAATCCAAGGATTTCTATTGTAGCCTTGACCGCAGTACGGGTCCCTATTTAGGGCTGTGCGGAATATAAAAGAACCCGTAGGTGAGTACTTTATTGAATTAATAGTTTATTTTTGCATTCAATCTAACTGAATTGTTTTTTTCTTTTTTTCCTTTCCATTTTGACGGTAAAATAGATTAGTTTCAAATTGGACACGACGATTTCGATTCTCATAAAAATAATTAAATAATGATAAACAAATTTTATATGCACGTGAAATTTTATCAAACTCATCTTTTTTCATGAAATGATGAAATATAATCATAATCATCAACTTTGCAAGCAGGTATTCATTAAAATTGTTCAATTAATTTTCTAGACTTTCACAGTGCTGTAGGGGCATCATCAAGCGATGGCAACGAGTTACCGCTTAAACCACAACACATTATTATGAATTTGAAACAAAACAAAAATCGAAAAACGTAAAATACAGAAGCTGCGACGATGACTCATCCAACGTTGATGTTCAACAAATTCGACTTGAAGAGGTAGATTACGGTAGTCCGAAGTTTCTTGTATCCAGACTCACTCACACTGCAACAAAGGCGACACACATTCCACTGAGACACAACCAATACCTTGATAAATGCATCAAAAACCAAATGAATTGAGAGAGAGAGAGAGAGAGAGAGAGAGAGAGAGAGAGAGAGAAACAATAACAACAAGAACAATTTATATGATTTTAAATTGCATGGTTACTTTGGTAATTGTTTAAATTATAGTTCTCGAATGCGTTTCAAAATTTTTAGCTCCTGTTTTTCTTCTGTCTTCTCTTTTGTCCAACCACAGCAAAATATTAATCCATTGCACGTTACACATTGATTATTATTACATGCACATATCGATTTTAAGGGCTCGTTTTTTATGATTCTTCTCTGCATTCGGTTTTTGATGTTTTCAATCAACACCTGAGGACATGAAGTGTAATACAAGAAGTTTTATAAGCATTTGCACAGAGCGGGAAAATATGTGAATTAAACATGCAATGTTCACAAGGTCGACGGTTCGACTCAATGATAAAAAAAACCATCATCGCATATCGCGATTTATCGACAATATATTGATTGATCTGGCTGGACTTTTCATGTTCAATTTCTCATACATTGCAACGTGCTCATACATATATGCGCTATGCCATGTTTTAAACGAATTAAAACATTAAACACAGTAATTAAGTGCCAGCATTCTTTTGCATAATAACAGAATTGGTATTTGTGTGGGAAAATTCAATAAATCAAGCTATTTTCTTTTTCAGAAATATTTTTATACAATTAATTAAAAATATTTTTATCTCCAAATAACGAAAAAGAATTTAAAAACAAAAATCAGCTATTTTCAAAGCACATAGTGGAGGCGGAAAGGTATATAAAAGGAGCCGAAGTTGTTTTTATGGTTAAAGGGTATTTCTCATCATTATTTTGCGTTGACTGTGTTTTTTTTCTCTTTGGCATAATCATACCTTCTCTCAATGAATATTGGCTTCGTAAATAAACGTCAAATTCTACCGTTCTTCATGAAAGTTGATTTGAATGTACAAACGGTCTTTTACAAGTGCCGTGATCAAATGCTCGAATGAAATTGAAGCAGTGAATAGATTGGGCTACAGCTATAGCAGTGCTATTTCCACAGCTCCTATTCATAGGTGCTATTTGTGAACAACGCATACGGACAGCGATTTTATGATTCAATTCCGGACAATAGACGTATTGATTTGTTTATGCAAAAAATACTAAAAACAATAAGTCTATTGCTCTATTTACATTTCGAACATTTCGTTCGGAATTGTATCATAAAGTCGTAAATAGCGCCTATGAATAGGAGCTGTGAAAATAGCACTGATAAGCTGTAGCTCAATCTATTCACTGAATTGAAGCAAATACAAGTTTAACGTTAAAAAACGATTTCTTACGGGAAGAATTGAACAAGATGGTTTAAATGTAGCCCTACGAAAAATATATACTTTTTTTTAATCGACTTGACTCTATCAATCACATTGCAGATATTAGATGAAACTATTCATATTTCATTATCGCATACTTTGAATAGACACATCATTCATATTTTATACGTAAAGACTAAACGTCCAAAAGTGATTGGCTTACGGCATCAAAACAATTGGAGCTGCCGAACATCATATCGGCTCTCTGACTACATCATCTCTCAATGCAAAGATGGTAGCATTTTTCTAAATCGAATCATTTTTTTTTTTTACTATTTTGAATAAAACAATTTTATTTTGCACAATCGTTTGTGCATAAGGCCGAAGTAATTTTGCTAAATGCTTAAACGATCGATAAAAATCATCATAAATTTCGGAATTATTTTATAATATTATAATTTTAATTTCACACCATTGTTCTAACACTGATTTACTTAATAGATGCCATACACAATATACATGTTTGAAGAATTCACGATTGCAGTGGGATGTTTCAGCAAAAATTACAATAATTCTATGAAAATTGTCTAGCGATTAGTAACAGCTTCTTTTTTTAATTCCGTCTTAAATTGTTTATAAACATTGATTTGTGGATCGGCTTTTTTTTCAATTTTCTTCGAAAAATATTCAAATGTTTTATACAACAAAATGTAATCAAATGCGCTGACAACAATTCATACTTTCCATTCAGCAGTACGTATTAATCAACGACATACGAACCTTGTCATGCCTCAATGTTTACATCCTGGTTTTGAGGTTATGTTGATATTTTAATTGAATGTAGTCTGTTTGAACATATATAAAAAGTGTGTTGTGATTAAAATGAGTTTCACAAAGCCGAAAACAACAATTGAAGAAAATGACACCGTTATTTTATACTTGACTGTGCAAAGTTTGCATGCAATTGATGTGGTGCCATTTATTAAAAATAAAAAGGACGAATTAGTTGAAAATGTGTTTCAAACGAACTACGGAGCGTTGAAAGTAAAAGATTTAATTGGAATGAAATATGGTTCAAGGGTAGGTATATCTTTCTTACCACGACTGAGAAGATCTTACCACTCATCCTATCTCTACTTAATAATTTATTTACCACGCAGGTAACATTAACAAAGGGATGGGCTTATGTGTTACAGCCAACACCAGAACTTTGGACACAAACTTTGCCGCATCGAACACAAATCATTTACACACCGGACATCAGCATGATTTTATTTCAATTGGAAATCAAGCCAGGAAGTGTTGTCGTTGAATCTGGAACTGGTAGCGGTTCTCTTTCGCATTCTTTTTTACGTGCCATCAAACCGCTTGGTCATTTGCATACATTTGATTTTCATGAACAACGTTGTGATATTGCTCGCTATGAATTTAAAATGCATGGACTTAACGATTTTGTTACGGTTGGTTATAGTTTCTACATTACTTGATTGGTAGACACGAAGTTGGAATGTTAAAAGCAGTAGTTTGTTTTTTCAGGTTTACCATCGTGATGTGTGCACACAGGGATTTACTGATGAATTAGATGGTAAAGTTGATGCTGTATTTTTGGACCTACCAGCACCCCATTTAGCCGTTCCACATGCAATGAAAGCATTAAAAAACTCAGGTAAATGTATAAAAAAGTGCAGAAAGTTTCCATTCTGCTGTTGCGTCAATGGCTAGTGGAATTCATTTTGTAATATATATTAATAAATATGATTAAAACACAATCGTCACATATAGTTGGAAACGTATCAATTCCATTGAACATCAAATAAATAACCGATTGGTCATTCATAAATCTGATTGCTTACAAATAATGCTGCATCATTTCATGCATACAACACACAGTTCAATGCAGTTCCAACAAGCGTGAGAATATCAGTTATAGTAAAAACAATGAATCGAATGGTTGTCGCATAAAACTTGAGCTCTTGCATATCAAATCCGTTTTTAATAGAGACATAAATATTTATAAGATTTATTTCGCACTTGCCACTTGACATTTTTTGAATTTATTTTATATTTATTTTTTTTCTTGGTAATTTACATTGTTCGTTGAAATCGTCGATGAGCATATGCATATGCAACTGGAATTTTTTTTATTATTGAATATGAAAAAACCAAGTGATGTTTATATATTTTAAATTGGGCGGCGGTGTATCAAACGAAGCGATTCGTTTGATTTACTAAACCAGTTGAAAGAAAAAGCTTAGGGATTCAATTGTCAATCGATCACACAACGTATGTATAAATCAAATAACCAATTAGTAAACACTCTCCATGTTTTACCAAATGACAAACTAGACGAAATTCGATCCAACTTCATACAATTTTATTTCGAGTGAATGGTGCAATTTTCTAATCAATTAATGAATGATTTAAAATCGCCCAACCATTTTCAACGGGAATCAAATCCACACAGTGATCTCTCTCTCTCTCTCTCTCTCTGTGCGTGTGTGTGTGTGATGAAAATGAAATTGTTGCAACAAACTTAAACCATTTATCTCATGCATACGATTCAAGTAATAAATAAATCTACGGTTGTTTGTTCTGCTCTTTATCTGTCTCTTTCCACTCATTCTCAATTCCATTGAAATTGCGTCGAATGCATGCATGTCGAACCAATATTCACACTATTCTCTATTCAATGCACCATTGACACATTCTTCCAAAGTGAATGGCGAAGGGTTTGTCATTGAACTTGAAGATTTGATTTGAAGTGTACAAACATTTTTTTGTGACTATTCCAAATGACATCAAATTCCAAATGCATAATAAAAATTGAGAAATAAAATGTGAGAATCAAAAAGATGCATACAGAATTATGCTTTTAACCCATTTGATATTATCGCAATCGAAAAATTTGCATACGACAGAAGTTGTACAGACGATTAAAATTGCGCAATGGAATCGCTTTATTCAATTTATAGACAATAAGTAATAAAACGCCATATTATTTGCATCTCTTTATGGGCAAAACATGAGTACATAGCGAATCTGTGAAAATAGCATGCAACAAAACAAAACAACAACAACAACGGCATCCAAATTCAATGGAATGAATGTGTGTGTGCATGTGAGAGAGACATGCATTACGCTTGTTTACATCGCATTGGTATGACTTATGAGCATTTGAACGACGAACATAATAACCATATAAAATGTTTTTGAAAATGGTGAAAAAATGAGCGATGAAGCATTTTTAAAACTATCGTCATTTAATTTGAATTCAATGAAGAAAATGCAACTTTTATTTGCATATCAATATCGAATAGTCTGTATTTGAAATGGGTACATGGGTCACATTCCGTTTGTTTGTTGTTTCATGTCTTACAAACCAAAGGAAAGAGGACAAATCCGCTGGACAATGTGAAAAATAAATTTAAAAAGCAGCCTTAAATAACAAAATAAAAATAAAGAGGAGCTTGTCATCAGTTTTCATCCTATTCTCATTTTTCGCTATACGCATGCTCTGCGAATATTTGAAAAGAGAAATACGTAAAAATAACAACATTCCGGTGTACGCTCACCCATAGTAAATTGTCGTGACGTGTGTTTGCATTATTTGCATTTTTCCTATATATTTTTTCCGTTTGAAATTTCGTGAATAACGAGAAAATGAAATAATTTTATTATAAATACTTATTTTCGTTTCTCAAGATGTTTAGTAGATTTATAGGTCAATAGCAATGTTTGAAATATTCTCAATAAACGTATCGACCAGTCTATGTATTTCAGATAGATATCCATCCGAGATATTTTAGAATATCTGGATATTCAACGCAACTGCACAGCGCCAGAGCTGTGTGCGTCGCAAATAGAATCTACGGTATGTCGCGACGTATATGTGTATCAAGTGCCGCACGTACACAGTCACACTGTGTCTGTATTTTACGTGTAGCGACATACCGTAGATTCTACGTGCGACACACACAGCTCTGGCTCTGTGCAGCTGCGTTAAATATCCAGATATTCTAAAATATCTCGGATGGATATCTATCTGAAATACATAGACTGGTATCGACTTTAATGTTATTTCAGGTGGACGTTTTTGCTCGTTCTCACCGTGCATCGAACAGGTTCAACGATGCTGTGAGACATTGGAACATAATGGATTTGTTGAAATTCAAACAATGGAAATATTACAAGTTGAAGAATATGTTAAAACCAAAGTTATTAATGTTTTAGACTTGGACTTTGTAAAAACAAAGGTAAATTTTGAAATATCAAAACTAAAATTGAATTTAAGAAATGTTAAAAATATCATTTTTTGTAACAGAAACCTGATGAAGCAGAAGCTAAGGATTTGAAAACTCCACGCGAACAAAAGAAGTATGTGACAACACAAGCTCCATTTACCATGCCTGGCCATACGGGCTATTTGACTTTTGCTACAATTCCGCCACTTTTTGCACGATGAAATTTAAATAATTTTTCAACTCTAAAACAATATTACTGTCAATGAATTTCAATAAAGCAAATTTTAAATCTTTATTATATATTTTCATATATTTTTTAAACCCTTAACCGGGCAGGTCGGGTCTCTGAGGTCCGGTAGCGCATTTAAAAAAAAAGATACATAAAATCGCATAAAATATTATTTTAATCAAACAAATTGTTTTGTAATATAATCTTCCGTCCTTCTACTAATCATTGATAAAATTTGATTTGAATTTGGTTCCTTAAGTAGCGCTGTATTGAGGTTTGAACAACTACCGGACGTACAATTTCCATACAAAATGTCATCAAAATTTTAAAATGAAGTGCAAAATTTGTACTAAACAACTACTGAACTGAAACTTAAATTCATCCGATTCGGAATAAATATTGATTATTTTTCCATTTTTTCAGTTATATTTTACAAAAAACATATTTAATTCAATATCTATTATGTTGAAACAATAATTTTCGTCGTATAAATTCAATGAATTTTGAAAAAAGAATTTTTTTTTTTCATTGAATTTGCATGGAAAATGTACGTCGGGTCTCAAAGGGCCCCACTTGCCTGATAACGTTAGTATTTTGACCTGCCCGGTTAAGGGTTAAATGACCTCGTTGCATCGACTTTTGATTCCGGTGAAAATTTCTCCATGCAGAAGTGCCATTTTTTAAAAATTCAACTTCGTCGAGTTTGTGCTCGGAACCTATGATAGCACAAAGCACAAACTCTACAAATATGGTTCTCGCCAGCACTAACACTCCAGATTGCATATCCGGCATTGGTTTTTCGAAGTGCTGACCGGGGGCAGCGACATTGACTCTTTTTTGCCATGTTTATTATGTGACCATTCGTCTCAAATTATCAAATAAAGAAAGAAAAATTGAAATTAGTAAATCATCTCGCAATTGGTTGATTTTCTTTTGAGTAAATACAAAAGATTTCCTGAAATATATTTGCAAGATTAATTTATTCAAGCTTTGATTTACTCACTTCAATTGTAATGAGATTGTGAGAATATAAAAATGCAAAGAATGTAATAGTTTAATTGTATTCATAACATTTAATGATCTCAATTATACATAGAATTTTAGTCGGGTGCATTATTAATCAATTTATGTAAACTGAAAATAATATCTTGCATAAAATAGACTTTATCAGTAGCGCGTTGGCTAAGTCTTAATTATTTGTTTATCATCTCTATATCAATTTGTTTGATCGTTTCTTCAATCGCTTTCTTTTTTGTTTGAGATGTGTTTGACAGGTTTTTTGGCTAAACTACTGTGTAGTGCTGCTGCAGAAGTTGAAGAATTCGAACAAGTATCCATTGTTCATCAATATTTCTCTGATTTAGAAAATTCTGAGGAAACTCTGGTCAGCAGGTAGAAAATTTTAGTTGTTCAATTTCATTTAAAATACCTACACTAGGTGTGCAGAAAAGTAAAAAAAAAAGTACTTTAATTGCAGAGCTACGCAAATGGCTGAAGATCAGGTTCCAACAGTTTTTTTTTTAAATGTGCTGAAGCGGTAATAACAAAAGCTTTCTTCAATGCTTAAAATTTTTATTGCGATTGAAATATTCATATAGAGTGCATATAATATAATGAAAATATTATTAAAAATGTGTAAAGTTTTTAATTAAAAGTATTTTCTAAAAACATCTAAAACGGTTAATAATAGATTAATCTAATTAAAATTTATTTTTGTAATATAAATATATTGCATATATTTGCAATGCGCAAATGCTTGTCTCAATCAACACACACACTCATACACATACATCGAAATGACAAAAAGATTCGCGACCATAAATGGTTACACGATTCATCGTTGTAATATTTGCATGATTCAGTTTTTGATGCATTTGAAATGTCATGTACATATGTAACGCTTAATCTGCAATAACCGTACTCTAAAATTAAATAATAATTCACACTGCAAGCCACTGATGCATCTCAGTAGCGCATATATATTCACTTAATAATTGGACTTTTTCACGTTGCTTCCTATTATTATGACAAAAATATACATTCCGAAGGAATTTCTATTGTTGGGCATGCCCAATCATTGTCAGCTGTTTATTCGCACTATAAATGCATGATCATTTTGAATTTTCCCTTTACTCTGGTATTTGGTTCATATCGTGAACATCGTTCTTGTGGTTGAAGAAAGTGGGTGATTTTACAAAGTTTTCTATTTAATTTTTCTATTAAATTTTGTAATTTTTTCGGAATATTTTTTTCTTAATTTCGACTTTCGAATAAATAGTTTTTTAATATCGATTTAGGCATAATTGGTTGTTGAAAATGTGTGATGAAGAAGCTGCTGCTTTGGTTGTAGACAATGGTTCCGGTATGTGCAAAGCCGGTTTCGCTGGTGATGATGCACCGCGAGCCGTTTTTCCATCAATTGTGGGCCGGCCAAGGCATCAAGGTGTGATGGTCGGTATGGGACAAAAGGATTGTTATGTCGGTGATGAAGCGCAAAGCAAACGTGGTATTCTAACACTTAAATATCCAATCGAACATGGAATAATCACCAACTGGGATGATATGGAAAAAGTCTGGCACCACACCTTCTATAATGAATTGCGTGTCGCCCCAGAAGAGCATCCCATTCTATTAACCGAAGCCCCATTGAATCCAAAAGCCAATCGTGAGAAGATGACTCAAATTATGTTTGAAACGTTCAATTCACCAGCCATGTAAGTATGAATAAATTTGAGAATTCCAAAAAAAGGAGATTAATATGATGTTTCTTGTAAAACTGATTTTTTTTAAGGTATGTCGCCATTCAAGCAGTGCTCTCATTGTACGCTTCAGGTCGTACCACCGGTATCGTTTTGGATTCGGGTGATGGTGTCTCACACACCGTTCCAATTTATGAAGGTTATGCATTGCCACACGCTATCCTCCGTTTAGATTTAGCCGGTCGTGACTTGACTGACTACCTAATGAAGATCCTTACCGAACGTGGTTATTCGTTCACCACAACTGCTGAACGGGAAATTGTTCGTGATATCAAGGAGAAGCTTTGCTATGTTGCATTGGACTTTGAACAAGAGATGGCAACTGCATCGGCATCAACTTCACTCGAAAAATCATACGAATTGCCTGATGGACAAGTCATCACCATCGGTAATGAACGTTTTCGTTGTCCAGAATCATTGTTCCAACCAAGCTTCTTGGGCATGGAATCATGCGGCATTCATGAGACTGTCTACAATTCAATCATGAAGTGTGACGTTGACATTCGAAAAGATTTGTACGCTAACACTGTCCTATCAGGTGGTACCACCATGTATCCAGGCATTGCTGATCGTATGCAAAAGGAAATAACAGCATTAGCTCCGTCAACCATCAAAATCAAGATCATCGCTCCACCGGAACGTAAATACTCCGTATGGATCGGTGGTTCAATCTTGGCTTCATTGTCCACTTTCCAACAAATGTGGATCTCAAAGTCAGAATATGACGAGAGCGGCCCATCAATTGTTCACCGTAAATGCTTCTAAAGCGAATAAAATGCGCACGTGTTTTATATGTATTTTTGTTGTTGTGTTAACGGGACCCGATTTTATATTCACGCAAATATTGAGTACTCCTTTTTATACGTTGTTTGCCTGTTGAAAAAATTTGTGGCAAATATGCAACCGAAAATAATAAATATGTCTGTTTTATTCATTCAAATTATTGTAGTCATATTTGTGAAAGTACAACATTTCCCATCAAATAAAGTTGTCCCTAATTCATTCTATTATTATTGATATGATATTTAATAAATTGTTCACGCTTCAAATGTTGTTTTTATCGTCATTATGCCTTTACATTTGGTTGAAAGTCAAAAAAAAAGTCTCCGTAATGAATGAATTCTATCGGATTTCAGATAACATCACAATCAAAATAATTTACCTAATTAAGCGATAACCAGCAATTGCTACAATCCTATATATTAACCGTTTTCCAAGTGAATTTCGTTCATACTGTTGAGTACAAGTGGATAGAAAACATTCACACGGTTGAACTGGTCAGTACAAAAATGGCTGAAAAATCAAATTTAAACTTTTCGGAAGCAATAAGTTACATTTTTTATGTGACCAAAATTTTTGGATTGATTCCGTATTCAATTTCACAATATCATCAACATAAAATATTGTTCAGTTCGATTTTTGGGAATATTCAATCGCTCGGTTCACTGATTGTGTACGTATTCTGTTATCATTATGTTGTAACACAAACATATTTCACGAATAAAGCTTTTGATTCAGGTAAAAAAAGAACAAAAATCTAAGAAAGTACGTAATCGTAAAAATTATTCATTCAAAACTAACAGGAACACTAACAACGATCATTGGAATTTTCATCCTTTATATGGTAAATTTATAAAAAGAAAATAAGTTAATTCCTCAGTGTCTGATTAACAATTCGTGGTATATTTGGCAGGAACCAATAATGATGACGCTTGATATGTTGGCAACGTTAGTGAATCAACGCCATTTGGTTCGGTGCATTCAGCGCTTGGAACAAGTGGATGAAAAATTGGCGAAAGAAAGTGTACGAATCGAGGCGTGCTTACATTTAAAATTACTATTCCATCACTGAAGAATTGCTATCATCTTTCGACTATTTTTCAATTAATTGTTTATTAATTTCCCCAGGTACAAATCGATTACAGATCATTGAAATCATTGTCGTTAATACTAATCATTGTAACGCTGTGTCGCAAAATTTTAATGATTTTATTCGGAGTTTTCGTTTTTGAATTGAATGTTCTTCAACTATGGAGTATGTACGTTCCGATATGTGTTAGCGTTCTGTCGAAAATCTATTTTGTTTTGATTGTTTGCAACATTCGTAAGAAATTTGACGCAATAAACTCGTATTTGGACGAAATGGCCAATTCAATAAATGAAAGCAATTCACTCAACAAGAATTCAAATGAAGATAGTGTTGGAGTTGATAACAGCAGTGATAATTCAATAAATAAACTTCGGAATGTGCGACAAACGACAGCACAGGCCACTTTTCAACTCGGCTATTTACAAAAGGAAATTGCTGTTAAACCAAAACCGAATTTTTTTCAAATCATGACCCGTCCAACATTGAATGTTGTTAAACCGTTTGAATCACGTGCATTTGTCGAAAATATTGGACCAGATTCTCGATCCATTCAACTAAATGATTCGATCACCGAATTCCCATTGCCATGCAATGGACCCGGACCTGCTGTAGTTGTTGGCGATCGATTTGATAAACGTCTGACAAATTTATGCTTCTTACATGATGAGATTTGTGATATTGTGGGAATTGCCAATCATATGTTCAGTTTTCAAATGCTCATGCTTATGGCATATGGTTTTCTCGGAATCACAGCACAACTTTATTTTGTTTATTGCAGCTTGGCTGCTCAGGTGGGTCGGCATTTTTTTTGGTTTAATTTTAAAGTGTTTAATAAACTGTTGTTGATGTTGATTTTTGATGAACAGCCGGTTCCACGACTATTCCGAACTTCAGAATCCATTGGAATTTCGTCGGTTCTTATCATCTCGACGGCTGTTGTATGCGTTTATGTGATTTATGTGTGTTGGCAAACAAAAAGTGCAGCCGAAAAAACTGGTGTATTTCTACATAAATTGGCCAATATTGTCGATGAAAATCATTTCTATGAAACGGTAAATTGTTCAAATTATAGAAGAAATTCTGTAGAAAAAGATTGTGAAGTAACAACATGAAGATGATACTGTCAAGATAAAATTAAAAGATATTCACATTCATTCATTTTACATTGAATTTTCAGATCAATCACTTGTCATTGAAATTGCTTAACCATAAGTTAAACTTTACGGCTTGTGGTTTTTTCGAACTGGATATGACAACCATTTATGCTGTAATTTTTTAACTTTCTTTCTATCGTCGTCGAATGTACTTTACGATTTAACTGCTGATAATAATTTTACATTCCCTCACTCAGATAACCGGTGCGATTACAAGTTACCTAATCATTTTGATTCAATTCAATGTGGCAGCACAACGAAGCAAAAAACTATACATGTCCAATAACACAGGTACACCATCAATGGTCAAAAATGAGTCCAATGGAAATTAAATGAATACGTACACTCAACTAAATTTGAACTTTATTTGAAATTTGTGATTTGATAATGATAGCACTGGTGTTTTGAGTGTTATACAAATAAATATGTGTTACAATAAAAAAACCACATTCAATTTGTACTTTTTGCTTCTGAATTTTTCATAAATGTCGGTGTCCTTGAAAGTCTTTCAATTGATCCATCTTTTCCCAAAATCTCCAACATTTCGGCCACTTGATAGCCATCTTTTTTACTACTCAATAGTGATCGCATGAGTCGCATCATTTGACCAAAATTGATTCCCTCTTTTCTTGCAAAATTACGTAACGTAACAACTAATATCTGCTTTGTAAATTCAGTACTTTCGAGCTCTGCAATAAGACTATTCATCCATTCTGGTTGAACGTAGTCTGTTGTTAATTCCGGTAAAACCCAAAGAAAAGAAGGATCGCCTTCAACCAATTGTCCCAAATTATTTAAATTGTCACTTGCAAATTTTAATGCATTTTTGATATGTGCATCACCCAAATCTAGCGAGTCAATGCTGAAAGTATTCAATTTAAATTTAGACACTAGTAGATAGACACCATATTCATGTAGATTTGATACTTACTTTTCTGGAAAAGTATCTTTAATGAGTTGACGTGCCTGTTCAACTAATTTCTCAATTAAAATTGGATCATTCACTTGTCTTTGTATCTCAAGGGCATTGATCTCGTATAGGTCGGAATTTTGTAGTCGGCTGGGATAGCTGTGCATTTTGGTTATATCGAACTAGAAATAGAAATCCCAAGTAATTTTAATTCACTAAATACATACAGTGCCGTCAGAAAGTTTGAGACCAAGCAAAAAAATGTCTTACAATTTCATACAAATAAACGATTTTTTGGAGCAATATTTAATATATTTCAGAGTTATATTTATGAATAGTTTATTTGTTGTATTACAACAAATAAACCGTGTGAAAAAAACTTCATGTTGCAGTATTATTTGGAGAAAAATAAGAGCTACTGTTTCGCCGCAACGATTCAAGTGTACAAACATTTATGGGTCTAGCTATTTCCGAAATATATTAAATTATGCTCCAAAAAATCCTCAATTTGTATGAAATTGTATGAAAAAAATGAGCTTGGTCTCAAATTTTCTGACGGCACTGTTTGCTTATGCACTTACTGCTTGGATGAGTTCATCCATTGAATGATTTTTTAAGATTGACGAATCCCATTTGAAACCACCACCATTTCGTGTTATGAAATTGTTTAAAGCTCTTGGGAAAATTCCACGTTCTCTATGAAATATTTCAATCTTTTAGTATGAATATCATTTTAAAGTTTGAAGAAAAACTTACTTGTAATAATCAACATTAGCATCATCTTGCCTCTTGCTTAATTTGGTTCCGTTTGTATTCAAAATCAAGGGCAAATGTGCATACAATGGAGGTGTCCAATCGAATGCTCTGATGAAGATAAATAGAGTCAAGGTAAATCAATTTTTAATAGAATGAAAAATGTGTATTCAATGAGTTTGCTTGATTATTTTACGTTTCACAATTTACCTATACATGGCCAAATGTTTCGGCGTTGATACTTGCCATTCAACACCACGAAGCACATGTGAAATTCCCATTAAATGATCGTCAACCACGTTGGCAAAATGGTAGGTAGGATAGCCATCTGATTTTTGAATTACAAAATCACCTTCAGATTGCATACTGAATGTTTTCTCTCCGTAAATCAGATCGATAAAAGTTTCATCCATCGAATTCAATTTGAACCTGATGAACAATAGCTAAGTTATCAACGACTTAAAGTATGTATTCAATAATTTTTAAATATACCTACCTAACAATTTTTGGATGATTACTGGCTAATTTTTCCGCCACCTTTTCCGAATGCAAATGCCTTTTATCAAATGAAAATGTTTACATGTTTTTAAAAGAAAATTTCAAGTGAATCTAATTGCTGAAATGTCCAGTAAAAATATAACCTGCATCGATTGTCATATTTTGGAATCTCATTGGCTCTCATTGCGTCACGCCGTAGCAGCTCTAGTCTTCGTTCCGTACAAAAACAATAGTAAGCGTGTCCGTTTGAGATTAATTTTTTTAAATGTTTATCGTACAAATCTAAGCGTTTGCTTTGTACGTATGGCCCAAAATCACCACCATGAATAACTGATTCATCTGGTTTGATACCAGCCCATTCGAGATTTTTAAACAGTGTCTCTTGTGCATTTTTGACAGTTCTCGTTTGATCCGTGTCTTCGATGCGAACTATAAATGCGCCACGATTCGCTTTGGCAAACAAATAGTTGTAAAGCGCAGTTCGTAAGCCGCCCAAATGCAAATAACCTGTGATTTTTTTAGATTATGTATTTTTTTATTCCATAAATTAATTACAAGTAGTTTGCACAAATTACCAGTAGGACTGGGCGCAAATCTAACACGAACTGACTTATTGGCTACATTTTGCGTACAATCATCACTTTGTTGTGTACTACAATATCTAAATACCGATTTTGTGTTTCTCTTTAGCAACAATAATTTTATTGAATTTATACGAAAGAGCATTTTATTTGATTTTTAAGCTGATCACATTTGACTTGATTCGGACACAGTGTATTCACTTTAATAACATTCACGACAATATTTTTTTCTTGTTGTTGCAATATTTTGATCTGGTTAGGAAATTTATTTTGTTCTCATGATGTTTTGACAGATAACAGTACTGTCAATGATACTGATTATTTGAAAATAATAAAATGAAGTACATCACTCTGAAGTATAGTGAAGTACTAGCTCGAATAAAATTTTTAAAAATTTAGAAGAATTACAAATAGCAGTGGAGAGAAGAACACACAAGGAATAAATGTTGTACAACGATATCGGCTACTTGCAACGACAAACCGATTTGAAAGTGTTGGTGTGAGAGTGTATTTTCATTTTACATTGAAAGTCAAATATTCTGTCGAATTGGATTTTTATCGGTTTTCCAGAAAAAGTGTTCGGTAAGTATTAATTTAAAATATAATATTAAACAGAATTTTCGAATTTTTTTTTTGAATTGACTTCGTGGAAGAATGAGATTGAGATAGAGAAAAGCACATTGAACACAATACAAAATCATGTTCAATCATGACTTTCACCATTGCGCACATTGGATTACGGGTACTGTTAGCCAATAGTGCGACACAGTTTCTCATGATTTTTCAAAGCCTACTTTGACAACGATATGCAATTGAATGTTTTTAGATAGATTTTTTACATATTTTTTTTCGTTTTCAACATTCATTCATTGGAAGGAACAACGAATCGGACACATCAAATGTCGAAGAAGAATATGGACACATTTTTAGTTCTTACACAGGGAATCGTTCAGAAACCGACCACAAGCGATGTCAGAACCCGGAAAATATGAATACAAAGGGTCGGTAAGTTTTTTTTTGCATTGCATTTCATCCACAATCGTATTCTTCCCGGGTACAAATTAAATGAATATAGGCCGCCTCCCGTAGTTTACTCCGTCTACAAGTAATTTACGTTGTGTGAGTAAGTATCGTTTGCAAATTACATCAATTATTATTTTGGTTTCATTCATTGTAGACTGATATTGATTTATTGATTATTGGTGATTTATTATGTGCTTCTTTCTATTTTTCCTGATTGATAGGTAGTGGCCTTGGCACCAAGTGCTATTCTATAGTAAGCATTTTGTTTTTTTTTTCTTTTCACAGTGATCAACGATCTCAACACTACTACTACTGCTACTACCAAATCTCAAATTTAAGCAATGTTGTTGTTGTGGTCATTGATTTGCTTTCTATAGTTTCATTTTTCATTCTGTTCCATTACATATTGATTAATTTCCATTATTTCCATTCTTTTCTTTGTGATTCAGGCAGTACGCAATCCGCCAAGGTGGAGAAAACCTATTTTCATTAAAATTTAAAGGGTTTTTAGCAAAACAATATTTTGAACGCTAAAAAATGGTCTTATTCACATTAATTAACACCGTTTGATTTGACGATGTACTACAACATCGAACACTGTATATTTTGAGTAAAAATGTAACAGAACGACAATTGGACAACATTTTCCTAAGAAATCAATAAACAATATTTCATCACAATTTATTTTTATTTCTTGCTACGATTGAGGTTTAAACAATATAAGTGACAACCGGTGTCAAATTTTCGATCACGTTATTGAAATATTCCAGTGCAAGAGTAGATTTGTGTTTTTTCAAATCGACACAAAAGAAAAAAACATCAAATTTTTCTACTGCTATAATTTTTAATGCATTTTAAACGCATTTTAATAAATATGAGGACATGTTGTTTATTTAAAAAAAAAACATTTTTTTACAAAATTAAATTCTACTAAAAATGTTATTTAGTTGGTTTTTTATGATCTTTTTTTCTTGTGATACGTTTTATTGTTGAGGTTTTTCCTAAAATTTGCATCATATCCGCAACACCGGCTCCATAATGTACGCCACTCAACATTGTTCTCAACGACGCCATAAATTTTGGGTACTTCAAATTATTTTCCTTTGAAAATTCACGTAATAATTCTAAGAGACGTGTTTTATCAAAATCACCCTTTTCGAGTGCTGTCACCAAATTTCCGACCCATTCGGATTGGATATTATCTGATTGAATCTTTGGCAATATCCAAAGAAATGATAAGTCACCTTCGACCAATTGCTGTAATGACAGCAAACGTTCTGTATTCACCGACCAATTCAAAACATTACGAATATGTTGTTCGTCTAAATCCAGACTTTCGATACTACAGTAAAATAGAAAGATATCAAACATTATTTTAGCTAGAGAATTTCGATTAATTAAAATGGAAATTGCGTATTTTACTTACTCTTTTGGATACGCTCGTTTGATGAGTTCTTGAACTTGTTTTACAACATCATTGCATAGTGTTGGATCTTTTATGTGTCGTATCAACTCCAAACGATTGTAATCTTCTAAGTATCCTGTGTTTAATCGGCTTGATGCTTTGTTTATGTGTTCTATATTAAACTGAAGCGAAAAATTATAAAAATGAATGTAATAAAAATTACAAAACGAAGAAGAAAAAAAATCATACGATTTCAGTCAATTCCTCAATTGTGAGATTTCTAATTTTTGTACCCACTTCACGTGCAAAACCACCGCCACTTAGTGTGATGTAGTTAATCAGAGCCAATGGGAATATTTTCCGTTCTCTGCAAATTAATAGTTAATTAATTATTACACTTGCACGTCGCCGTGTAATAATTTACCTGTAATAATCAACGCTAGCATGATCGTGTCGTTTACTTAGCTTTGTCCCATCTTGATTCAAAATCAATGGTAGATGACCATATTCAGGAGGATGCCAATCAAATGCACTATTAAATATCAAACTTAAAATCATTTCTTAGAAAAAAAATGCTTTAGACTTTTACCTATATAATAAAAGATGTTTCGGAGTTGAGACCTAATTAAAATGGAACAAAATTAGTTTTTTTTTTGGTTTTTCTAAAGAAGAGTGTACCAACCATCCATTCTGAGCCCCGAAATACATGTGTTACTTGCATCAAATGGTCATCGACCACATTGGCGAAATGGTAGGTTGGATATCCATCGGACTTTATTAGAATCGGATCACTTTCCTCAGTCACATCAATACTCATTTCACCAAATACCAAGTCATTGAACTTAGGTACATTCTCAGATTCCAGTTTAAATCTGCAAAAAAATAATTGACTTTACTAGTATCTTCCTTTCTCAATAGCATAATATGAAATGGAAAATGTACCGAATTGTAAATGTATCGTTGTTAGCCAATTTTTCTGCTACTTGAAGCGGTGTTAAATGTCTACATCGATTGTCATATTTGGGAATTTTTTTGGCCTCTTGCGCCTCTTTGCGCAACATTTCTAGTCGTTTTTCTGTGCAAAAGCAATAATATGCACTGCCATTTTCAAGTAGTTTTCGTACTTGTTGTCGATATATTTCGAGTCGTTGACTTTGTACATAGGGACCAAAGTTGCCGCCATGTATTACTGATTCATCCGGTTTAATGCCAGCCCATTCGAGGTTTCGGAAGAAATTCTGTTGAGCATCCGGTACGGTTCTTGATTGATCTGTGTCCTCGATGCGAACAATAAATGTTCCCTTATGTGCTTTGGCGTATAAATAGTTGATTAAAGCTGTTCGTAAGCCGCCCAAATGCAAATAGCCTGTGATTTTTTTACATTATGTATTTTTTTATTCCATAAATTAATTACAAGTAGTTTGCACAAATTACCAGTAGGACTGGGCGCAAATCGAACACGAACTGACTTATTGGCTACATTTTGCGTACAATCATCACTTTGTTGTGTACTACAATATCTAAATACCGATTTTGTGTTTCTCTTTAGCAACAATAATTTTATTGAATTTATACGAAAGAGCATTTTATTTGATTTTTAAGCTGATCACATTTGACTTGATTCGGACACAGTGTATTCACTTTAATAACATTCACGACAATATTTTTTTCTTGTTGTTGCAATATTTTGATCTGGTTAGGAAATTTATTTTGTTCTCATGATGTTTTGACAGATTACAGTACTGTCAATGATACTTATTATTTGGAAAGCATAAAATGAAGTACATCACTCTGAAGTATAGTGAAGTACTAGCTCTGAGGTAGACAATATTTATTTATTTATTCTGTTTGAAATAAATCCATTTTCTTAAGAATAATTATTCATATATTTTTGCTTCGAAAAATGAACACAATTTGTGGCTGTAGAAGTATTTTTTTTTTAATTAAAAAATGAATTCAACATACATTTGTATATTATTCCACAATTAAATGAATGTTATTTTTTTTTTTTTTTTGAAAATAATGAATTATGAGTTTAAGTTTGAACGGTAGTGCGTCGATACCAGAATCTGGCACGAAAATCGTCAGAGCAGGTGAGAAATGCTGGCTGAGTTGGTGAATGAACAATGTATCGAACCGGACCGTTGTGACCAAGTGACATAAGATGCAACCGTGAAGCATTTCTACTGTTCCACGAACATAACGATGTAGTTGCTTCATCGGGAAACAGTACATAATCTTCAGTGTGATTGAAAATCGCTTGGGTGTTGTGCTCTTGTTTTCCTGTGGTTCCAGCTCCAGTGTAAGCAATCAAACAACGGCTTGTGCTCAATTCCCATAATTTTACCAAGGAGTCTTTTCCAGATGACAACAGATATTTTCCATTGCTTGTAAATGCAACTGAACAAACTTCAGCACCATCGTGTGCTTTGTCAAAGGTATTGATACAACGTCCGCTAATTGCATCCCAAATTTTAATTGTACCATCCAAACTGCCAGTAGCATATAACTTTGCATTCGATGCATATTTGACACACGTAACGCTTGAATTGTGCTGTTGTGAAGCAATTGGGCTCACAAAACATTGCGACGTATTGATATCATAGACGCGCACGACGTTGTGATCGGTGCCAACAGCCATATAATCACCAGTTGGATGGAATGTTAAACAACGAACAGCTTGACAATCCTAAGCGAAAATCAAGTTTTTCATTAGTCGTTTTGTTGTCAATTCAGAGAACTCTCTGCCCACTTACCGTCAACACTTTGTGTGCCTTTTTTACAGATGCCTTTGAAATGTCGAAAAGTTTTACTGTACAATCTCTTGAACCAGATGCCAATACCGGTTCTTTTGGATGAAATTCCAGGAAAGATACTTCGTCAGTGTGATCATAAAGAGTACGAATGACTGGATGACCTTGCTGTTCACCACGTCCCGTTTCAGTTTCTTCCGGTGCTGATTTTGCAAGCATTCGTTCAACATCCAAAATTTTAATACTTGCATCAACACTGCCAGTTGCCACCAACTGCCCATCGTGACTAATGTTCGGTTGAAAAAGAAAAATCACAAATAATAACATTTTTTTACAAATTTCAGTGAAAATTGTACTCACCTGAATGCACCAGCACGACATGCTTGTTTGTGCGATGTTACATACGCCGTTTCATATGATGCTGGCTCGGGTGCAATAGAAGTGCCTTCGGTCTCAAATTCCAAATCAATGCCACAGAATACGTTGTCTTTGTAAATATTGATATTCTCTCTGGATTGATCTTGAATTGCTAAGCCTTCAACCACAGCGTGAAATAATTTATCGGATGGCGGACATGGCGGGTCGGCTCGAACCAATGTGCCTAATTCTACAGCAATATTATGGTGCCCATCGTAAAACAATTGACTATGCGATGAAAAAAACACATTCAGTGACGTTTATAGATAGTTACAAGAAAATAAACATATTTACCTTATTATTAGCCGATACAAAAGGTTCTTTTTCTCAATTGAATCTGACATTTTCTCTTTCATTTATTTATTCACTTGATTTTTGTTTGAAAAATGTATACTTTTTATTGTTTTTCGACCGGTCTATTTGTGTGTTTTTTTAATCTTTGCGTGGTTATGTCAAACAAAATTTGTTTGGCATTGGAATTTCCAGTGGTGGCGCTGTCCAACAATACATTTTTAATTTGACATTTCCAATAAACTGTTGTTGATTCCAGTTCATGTAATAAAAAAAAATAAAAATAAAAAACACCAATATACAATTGTTCTTATTATTTTGATTTAATTGCTTTAATATATGATTTTTTTTTATTGTTTTATTGAAATTTCTAAAAAAAGTCGAATCATACAAAATGTTTTTTTAGTTAAGTAGCACTGTTAAATGGACCGTTAAAACTTACATAATTCATTTTTAAAGATTTCTTTTTCACAAATTTAAATAAGTTTGTTGTTTTCGTTTTTGATTCTCCAATAAAAAAAAAAGACCAATCAATACATAAATTGTGTAGCTTCTTTTAAATAAGTGTTAGCGTTATTATTATAATTGAACACTAAAAACTATTTTGATTTTCGTTTGTCCGTTATTTTGTAAACAGCATACCAGTTTGTGATTGAATGGATGTGGTTTCGAATGAGACAGGATTTGGATTTGTTTGTAAATAAAGGGGATCGGAGGTTTTGAATGCAAATGCGTGCAAAAATTTATACAAAAATGAAAAATGTAGTATGTTTTTCAAAGAAGAAGAAGAAGAAGATGTACATGCTGTTTTCTCCCTAAAATTTCGAATCGAATGAATTTGAATAGGTTTTCACTAGTCTGCCGATCCGGCGCAAGACCATACAAACAATGACATTTTTACATAAGTTGAATAAATCGCTTCAAAACCTGTGCCTATCCTTTTCTTTCTTGCAACTATTAAAGATAGATTTAATGCAATTTTAAAAAGAATATATGAATATCAGAATACTTTCTCTCTTATTCTACTTGCTATTTGGACTATAAATAATATGCATGGTTGCGGCGTCAATAAGATTTCCACTTGAAATCTATATATTATTAACTGTAATTTGTTTGTCTACATTTAAAAATAAAAATGAAAACCCAAAAAAAAGGATTTAATCGTAATAATTTGATGTCGAAACAACTCATTTTGTACTGAGTGTTCGACTTTCCAAATATTCTGGTTATGAACACGTTCAACAATCGATATAAAATGGGCAATAATATATTTCATCTAAATCGTCGTTGTTCGTTTAAAATAAAATAATATATGTAAACTTCAAAAAAATTAAAACACACCGGTTGTTAGATACTGGCTGGGTTCATGGAAGCAAATAAGGAAAATTATTTTATGCGACTTAACTGATTTCTCCTTATATATATATATATATGTGTGTGTCTCTCTCAATCGAAGTTTAATCCACAAACAAAATGTTCTATCACATGGTTGATAGATAATCTGTTTTCGTTAAATCATATAATAACATGTGATAAAACGTTTAAGAGATTTCACCCAATTCGAATCTTATACGCCTACTGCATGGTACTTAGAATAATTTAAATGTTAAAAAATTATAATATTGGAGCAGTCGATTTTTTATGGTGAATATAAAACGTTGGTTTTTAATCGGCGTTTCATTTGTTATTGTGTTTAATGCAACGAAAGACTTCAAATATGTGTATGTTTACGTTGGTCTAGAAAAATTGTAAATGATTGGTTAATTGTCGGATTTGATGGTTCCCATTATCCGGCCTTCAAGCAACGGCAACGGATCATAATCGTTAACCACTTCCTCTTGAACGATTTGTTTCAATGTCTCACAATGCGTTTGGAAGTAATATCTGCAAATAAACAAATATTCCAATGAATTAAATTGTTTTAAGCTAAAAAAATATACATGATATACCTGAAATTTCCCTTCTTCGGTAAACATTCCTTGAAATGCTTAAGGGTTAATCGTTTGCCCTGTATTTTTATTCGATATGGTATATCCTCATCGCTAAATGTATAAACAGCAATTGTGTAATCCTCAATTGGTTCGTGCATTCGACTCGTGTTTCGGGGTAATGAGTTGGTGTGATGGCTCGATGTTGCCGGCATATAATTTGTTTGATGATAGTGGTTTGGTAGTATCGGCATTTGTTTTCGCGTTCGTTTCAAATCATCCTTAGATGATTTACACATTGTCTCACTAGACAATTGTTCACTGTATCAAAAGATCGGTATTTAATCAATGGTTGAAAATTTAAAAATGTATCTATCGTTTTCATCTCAAGTTAAACTTACGTTGACTTCATTTCCTTTAATTTGTATGGCGAACTGGCTGCATATAAACTATCGATTCCACTATTATGATTAACGCTTGTTGAAGGCCACTTGTGAGATAATTTTATCGTTGTTGTTGTACTACCGAGCATAGCTATGGTTGAAGTATGTTCCATTGATCTCGATGGTCGCATGTGTTGATGAGTTGCTGTAGATAGTGAAAAGGTTATTAATAAGTTATTAATTGTTAGCAAAGTACGACGATGACAAGCATCGTTGACAGCCGCGTTGGTGCGGTTGCCAGCGAAGCCTAAAATAGCACAAATTGGGGCCACCTAAATTAAACACAGACAACCATAATGAATTTGCTGCGTAGCCCAGCTGTCATTATCGTTGTTATTTGGTGATTTGTGTTTATTCAGTTTTATCCATAGCGAAACGATAAAATCTTCTCTTTATTTTGAGTGAAACACTTTTGAAATTGAAGTTTTGTACAAAATTAATCGTTTCACTTACCGAAATCATGCATTGATCTGTGCAGATTCCCAGGAGAACTAGTACCCGGTGACATAATTGGTGAAAAAACCATCGAAACATGGTGATCCAAAATCGATTGATCATCTTCTTCCACAGCAGAAAATAGTCGGGGTTGCGCTGTTAATTTTTTATTCACATGCTGTGTTAATTGCTGGCACTCTCTCTCTTGGTCACGTTTCAGTTTATTTAATTTTTCACACAGTAAAGATGTATCTAATTTATGTGCTGCTTGTTCAAGTCTTGATTTTGATGGTGGTCCGACGGTTTCTTTCATGCCATGTGATAGAGGTTTAAGGGCAACTTTTTGCGACTGTGGATTCACATATTTTCGGAAATCTTCGTGTTGCATTGGCTTTCGATGTATATATGGCTTTCCGTCTCTGTTATGCATAACAAATGTAATATAGTTTTTTTTAATAGAAAATACAAACTCAACATGATTTATAAACGATTAATTTACATTAAGGTTAATGAAACTCTGATGCAACACAACATGAAAGGTTGTAAAAAAGCATAAATATATTTAAAAATAATGAAAATAAATAAAAACCAGAAATAAAAAAAATTTATAAATGACTCACTTTGAATTCATTTCAGAGTCGGTCAAACTAGCTGAACTACAACTCTGACGTTCAGAATCTTGTCGCGATACTGGATTGTAAGACACATTAAGTGGTGCATTTTTATATGCAAAGAGCGAACTACATGCATAAATACAACGTGGTTTGTGATAGAGCGTGTGTGTATATATGTTGACAAAAAACAAAAAACATAAAATACCAACAGATAAATAGAAAAAAATCAAAAACAAAATATAATTAATAAAGTACAAAAAAGAACGATGCATAAAACGGTTTTTACATTGAAATGATTTGTGAATAAAATCACTTACCCTTGTGGTCTAATCTCCAGTCTTCTTCTTTCCGTGGCTAACAAATTTTCACTTGTTAGCTTTGGCATAGGTCGATCAGTCGTTGTTTTTGTTGAAGTAGATTGGCTTAACTTAAGTTCGGTATCTTCGTGTAATGTTTGTAACGTTGGTGTCGTTAACAATGGTGATAGTTCAACGGTCATTCCACTGAAAGTCGCCGCACTGTCGGTAGTGCTGGATGTCATAGAAGCAGTTGCGGTACTGTTGCTACTGCTGCTGTTGCTTGCCGACGCAACATTGCTAGTGTAATTTGGTTGATTTGCATTGGCAATTGTTGGTTTTTCAAATTCCTTATTATGCACATACTGAATAAACATGTCTGATTGCAGAAATGCTCGATAAGTTGTTGTAGCAATCATGTCTGCTACTGTTTTTTGTAAATCATCGAAAACATGTGGATTTGGTGTACTCTCTTTTCTAATAATATCGGAGATGGTTTTTTGAAGCTCAGGTGACGTTGGAATTTTACCCTGTATCATCTCACTATCGTATCAGAAGAGAGCAGAAAATCAAAGATAATTCACCATTTGAATTTGGCTGAACTACACTTACCTCAGGTGTTTTATTAGTTTACGAATTATTTTTTTGTCAGCATGTAGTTTTAGACCGTCGACAGCAAAATAAAATACCAGCCTCGTGTAATCGAGTGAATTTTTGCCAGCTTCTTGCTCTACAAATTGGTATAGTAAATTGCGCCCCTCTTGATCGTTCATCAAACCCGATAAACTTTCTTGCCATTTTTCAATGCGCGTTGTGGATGCGCCATCCAAATCAGGCGATCGATTTGAATTTGAACTAGATGTGCTGTGTGAAGCACTTTCGGTGGTCATCTTCGACATTTGACTTTCTTCACCTGGTGTTAATTCAAATGTATTTTACTTTTATTGACGATTTATTGGTACTTAAATGTAACAACGTTATCAAAACAACGAATCAAATTTGCGAATAAATATAAACCAAAAGCCACTCTAAAAAGTAATTTTTTTTGCTTGAGGTCAATAAACTATATTGAACCATGCAACCAGACATACACTAAACAAATAATTTTACGTTTATCACTACAACTACCCCATTCGCGAAATCTGTAAATAAATTTTAACTTTTTTTCAGCTTTATATCTGAAATTTTAAATATTGATTCTTTACCATAAAATAACGTTATATAAAGCAAAAAAGCAGTTACTTGTTAGAGTGGCTCTCGGTCTATTAGAGATATTTCAGGTACATACCAGGTACAGGGGGTCTTGGCCCATTACCGCATTCATATTCACCAAAATCTTTAATTGGCTTCTTTGTCGATTGACTCATTCCACAATATCTCAATATCAAGCGCGCGAGCGCGTCGTCTACATGTACTAATTTATATTAACCATATATACTTTTCACCTTCACTAAACCTTCAAATTTCATCTTCATCGCTTTATTTAAAGCTGTTTCATTTCTTTTATTCATCAAACCATCAAATTTAACAATTAATCATTTGAACTTTTAAGATTTCACTCGATATATTTTAATAAATTTTCTAAACAAATTTTCAAATGTGATGTGTTTTTTTTTATTTTGTCGTTTTTGTAAAAATCGGTTTATCATCAAAAGGCATCAAGTTGAAGGAAGGCCTGAAAATATAAAATAAACGCATTTTTAAATATTGTTCAAAAGTTTTATTTATTTATTTTAAATGTGAGTTAATTTCTCTGCTGCAATAGAGACACAGTATGTATAGCATTTATGTAGAATATTCGTGAACAAGAACAAAAGAAATTTGATCCAAAGTAAAACGAAAGTAAAAACATCTTCCCCTATTTTTCGGTTATGTGATTGGGCGACGCAAATGCGTCAACCGAACCAATCACAGCGCTTCAAGACATCATATCATACCATCCGCCTTTGAAGTATAAGTATACAAATGTACTTTGGTATGTACCAAAGCCGCAAATAAGAGCAATATAACACAATAATTGTACCGTTCCCTCTTTATATTCGTGAAATCTATTTTTCACTCGATTGAGACTTGTTGGTAGGAAAATACACATTCGTTGTATGCATACATATAAAGCAAATGCCTTTTGTTTAGTCAATTCAATGGCTCTTACAATAGAAAAAATATAAATCAAATTGAAGAATAATGACTTTGTAAATGATTATGTACAGATTTTGCAAATGAAGCACATTTCCACTGTAATTATGGGGCATTTTTTGCTACCTTGCATTTGAATCAACTGTTTAAAACCGCGTGAAATATGAATTATGAAAAATTTGGAGAGGAAAAAAAGTCTTCTGTGAATCTGCCTATTTTGCACCAAAATACAGGATAAGCTTTATCCATAAAAATAACAAAATTCAAACACGAATAAAAAAGGAAACGCGAAATTGATGTTTTTACCCTGCTGGTTTTGGTAAATTATTCAAAAGTTCTTCGATCAAATAAATCTTCAGCATTTCAGTTTTCGTTTTCACGTAAATATTTTTCTTTTGTTTATTTAAAAAAAAACCACGAAATATTCCTTTATTCATTTTAAGCCCAATAATTTCTATGAGAAGTTTGAACGATATGCTCGTCAAGCAATATTATTTCTGAATTCATCAATGACGTGCACTTCCGAATTTAATCGTATTTTATTGTTGGATTGATGTCGATTCTTTTTTTTTCATTTTTTTTTTTAATTTTCAAAGAAATTATGAGCTCATGTCATAAAGCACTCTCTTTGTAAAAAAATGATTTTATGAAAACAAAAGACGATGTAATATGATCGAGCCTTTTTTATGAGTTCTACGATATTCTTTTTTATTCTATATTATAGCACTGCGTGTCTGTCAAAATCAATGTTCACGTTTTTAACCGTTTTTATTTCTTGATTTGAAATGATTTTTTATGAAGAGAAGTTTCATCAGTTCGAAAATTACTCAGTGATTGAATGCTTTTAGAACGACTAGGTGATTAAAACTGCACCCAATATTAAGCAGAGATTTTCTAGCATCATTTCTTGTCCAAGAATTGAACTCGTTTTTGGTGGGTGCGCATTACATAAAAATGATGGCTTACTTGTATGCATTATATTTCATCGGTATTGGATTTATATATATATATACTGATTGTCTGAACAGCCCTCAATCATATTTAGAGGGAAAATGAATGGGTTTGAAATGAAAAAACCAACAAACATTTGATTTTGGTGAATTTACTTCTTGTGCAGGCGTATGCATTGCATGCGATTGTACATAGTTTATGTATTGAATAAGGTGACTCGTGAAAATCGTCTCAGTTTAATTCAGATTTCCAAGGCGCTATATATTCTTCATTTATATCTTATGTTAAATATCTCTATATTTTAGCCATTTCTCTGTCGATTTTTCTAACATTTGTTAGCATACATGTGAATGGAAATAGCATATGGAGTTATATTCATATTACAAATCCATTTCTATTTTGTACCTTTTCAATTTATTGAATCGACGATTGAGGAGAGATTCATATTGATTTTTTTTGCTATAGCAAAATTGATGGAATGACGGAGAACAGAGCCCTATCTTTAAATAATTTCTTAGCCACAAACTGATTTTTATCGTCTTTTTTCAATTTTTTCCATCCAAATTGATATATTTATAAATAGACAATTTTTATTAAAGTGGAAATATTATTTCACTCAAATATCTCTGTAAAGCAGATAAACATTCTTATACAAAAACGTTAACCATTCATTATTAATTACAAGTAATTGGATATCGCTATTTTGGTTCAGTCAGTTAAATTCTCTGCGGTCAACCAATTGACCTTTGCTGAGCATGAAAAAATCGCATGGAATGTGAAGAAAAATGGATTATACACACAGAGAAGTAATACAATGAAAACTAGATGACTTGTCGTATAAAATTTGGAACTAGTTGACACTCCGTATAAAATTGTATTTTTCCATCTAATTTCATACCAAACATCGTTTTTGTGTATTCTCTTTTGTGCGGTTCTTCTCCGTTTATGCTTTGAAGAAGATCCGCATAAAAGAGAATACACAAAAACGATGTTTGGTATGAAATTAGATGGACAAATACAATTTTATATGTATTGTCATCTAGTTCCAAATTTTATACGACAAGTCATCTAGTTTTCATTGTATTACTTCTCTGTGTGTATTTAATTTGAAAATATCAATATGTCTGTCTATGGTAATAACATTCAGACGTCGATACCGTGTACACTAGGGTGTTTCCACATGAAAAATATTAAAAAGTGGCTATTATCATTTTGAAGAGCGTTAAATTCTGTATAAGATGATTT